TGGGGTAAATTCGACATTGATGTTTTCAGTTTGCAGGAGGTTTGCTCGACTGCTTATACTGATTATTTGCATGCATGATTGTGTCGCTAAACCTCCAATTAGACTGACAAGGTTTTGAGATATTTACTGAATAAGCAACTGATAGAGAAACATACTGTAATCATCTGTAGTGAATGAAGATAAAAGAAAAACAACACTAGTGATAATTATAAGTCAATTTGCTGACCGATTTTGTTAATAGTTTCATTAATTTTATCAATCATATTACGTGATTGTCAGGTCATGACAATGGTTTATGACGATATCCTGAAACTATTATGTTTAACTAGTTATAGTGTTGAATGAGGATTAGTCAGTGGAAAAATAGGTATTGTTGTGATTCGAGATTATCAGAAATTTGTAACGTTAAAGAATCTGAGACACCTAATTTAATTATAAATTTTAATTCAGAAAGATTCGTTTAGTGTTAATTCTAGTAGGCTACAGAGTTTTGATTTTAAACGTTTGTTTAGCCAACAGCTACCTAGGGATCTAGTTATTTTACTAGTGCAGTTGATAGTACCTAAATTTTTAATCTTATTATCTAAACTATGTTCGCATTTTAGGCTGCTAATATGATACACCAATCCATAAACCCAAATACGATTAGCAACAACGACTATGATGGGTTTATTGATAAATGTTAAAGGCGATTCAGATGATTTCTAAATTCAAAAGATATGAAGATATAGTAAAACGTATGTACGGGCCAGGTTAACATGCAGGTTGTTGACGTATATAAAAATTTAAAAATAATGAACATGACCAGAAAATAATTTTAAAGTTAAGACTGCTTGTGAAACTTCAGGCAGGAATATGATGCGTTATAAACCTTCCATAAGAAGTTACTGCATTTAGCTTAGTGACACTTACAAATATATGGCAAAAGCAACTGAAAAACATATACATGTTAAGTACAAAAAAAAACATCACTAAGTAAAATAGTTGAACTCGCCTGGGTTATTTTCGATTATATTATTCAGTGGACGACATATATAACGCCATTCGTGAGGAGTAGTAATGATCCAAAAGTATCCAGAATAAAACATGCAGTATGGCAATTAATTCCAGAGTCCTTGATGCTGTTGACGTTTTTGCCACTCGCTCGGATCAGAACAACCGGATGAATTCAGATAATTGTGCGGTCACCATTGAACGAGCCATCTAAAATGACCTTATGATTGCAGAAAACTTATGGCTGAAACCCACCGTATGTTTTTAGAGAAGTCATCCTCGTTGTTTGGCAATGGAACTCGAGAATATGAAATTAGGCAGGCAGTGGTCAGAAGAAAAGATATTACAGGATAGGGCATCGTTTAAAACAGGATGAGGTGTTAAGTGAAGGAACACTGAGAATTAGATCCAGATAACTATTTAGTCCTTGATCGCATTGTTAGTCAATGTATATTTACGCTATTTACAGGTCATATTTGCTAGAGCTTGATGTTTGAACAAGTCTATGTCGCTGAAGCATGTAAATGCTATTAAAGCTTGTTAACGAACCATCAAAGCTAATTACTTAATATAGACGACCAGTTTTTACTATTGATTGGGCTAGTATATCATGAGAACTAATCAATATAACATTACGATAATACATGTGAGCATTAATTATAGGACTATTAGAATATTGGGTTAACATAAATATATAATAGATCAAGAAAGTTAAAGTCGAAATATGATTAGCAATAATAGGTTGCGTTTCTTTAGTCGGGCTTACCAATGTAGAATTATGGTCTACTATGATATTAGTACTGCTCTTATAATAGACCTAATCCCAAATTTGTAGATTTGTCATGATATAACTGCCTAATCTATAAGATCTTACGTGGAAGTCACACCATCGACTACACCAACTCACTGTATCGTATCAATTACCAATACATGATGTAGAACAAGGTTAGGCTAGAGAAGGAACAATATATTTAATATGAATAGAAGATATAAGGTAACATTCAGATGGACCACGCCTGCATGGTCGAGCCATGCCATCCGATCAACTCCAGTCCATTCAATTCATTCTTCGCGCCTTCTCCATCGTTAGGTATTTATCCGCGTTAAATATTGAATATCTATTTTCTGAGTAGTCTCGTGTTCAGCTTTGTGGATTGTGCGGCTATTGTTCAATGCCACTACAGATTCATCTTTGGAGTGCGAATAGCAGATAATTGATAATAGGAGAAATTAAAGCACCTGATATCGGTTGGACTGCGATGACCATGGAAGGATCTACAAACTCCTTTGACATTAGGTTCCTGATAACAATAATGGAGCATGTATTAGTGCATTATGTGTCCAAACCCACTCGTTTTGGTGCTAACCAAGGTTCTTCTCTGTTGGACTTGGTAATCACTCATGAGACTGAGGATATTATCGACCTAAATATTCTTCCACCCTTAGTGAATAGCGATCACGCTGTTTTGTCATTTGCGTTTAGAACTAGGAACATGTTATACGGTCAGGTTACACCCCGTCCAAATGTATGGAAAGCTAACATGTCAGCCATTCATAAATAAGCTGCTAAGAGAGATTGGCTTGTAGATACTAGTTTATCAGTTGAAGAAGCATGGTCTATACTTAAAGATAAGTTTAGTTTAGTAGCGTCCTCGTTCATACCATACTTGGTACCGCGAAGACCGAATAACAGTCCACCATGAATAACTAAACCCGTCAGGAAACTTCTCAGAAAAAGGAAGGAGCACTGGGATATGTTCATCTCTACTGGCTTAGAACAATACAGATCCAGTTATTGTAAGATCAGGAATGCTTGTAAAGCCTTGATAAGTAAGACTAGACGACTATATGAAAAACAATTGGTTAGGGATTCTAGATATAGTCCGAAACGGTTATTCTTTTATTTAAAAAGGCAAACTCAGAGAAGCGATGGAATTCCATCACTTTTGATACAAGAAAATCCGTTAATCTTGGCAGAAAGTGATACCGAAAAAGCTGAAGCTACATCAGAATATTTCAGTAGTGTTTTTTATTAGTATTGAGGAACGACCAACAATTCATTATGATTGTGGCGGCTCGCTGATGGACCGCATAGTCATTGAAAAAGGTACTGTTTTAAGGCTATTTCGACATCTCAAACCTGATAAGTCCAGTGGTCCTGATGATATTCATACTAGGATTATGAAAGCCATATCAGATGTAATCTCTGAGACAGCGATACTGTTTGACATGTCTCTGAGGCAGTCCAAACTGCCCAGAGATTTGAAAGACGCTATAATAAGTTCGGTGTATAAGGTTGAGAGTAGGGATTTAGTTAGTAACTGAAGACCCGTTAGCTTGACCAGTGCGTTTGTAAAGCTGATAGAAGAAATTATTCGGATATCTGTTATAAACTATGTTGAAGGGCATAATCTTTTCTCCAGGGAACAACATGGTTTTCGGATAGACCTATCATGCTTGACAAATCTTCTCATTGCAAGAGAAGATTGGGCTGCCGCAAAAGATCGAAATGTTCTTGTGGATGTGATCTTCATAGACCTAAGTAAGGCCTTCCATAAGGTCTCCCATTCTGGTCTTAAATTTAAACTGGAACGTTTTGGAATCCATTAAACTGTCGTAGAGTGGATAAGTAACTTTCTCCAAGACAGGAGACAAAGGTAATGGTAAATGGGGCTCTCTACTCGTGGGTACCTGTAAAAAGTGGAGTTTCCCAAGATACAATCCTCGGTCTTCTTCTCATTTTACTCTGTGTAAGTGAATTACCAACTGTAGCAAAACCATCCGTTCTGCTCTTCGCCGACGACATATAGATTTGGAGACCCATACACAGTATGTCAGCTAGAATACTATTACTGGATGATACCAGCTCATTGGTGGCATGGTCGGACAGGTGGTCACTGAGAGCGAATCCTAATAAGAGTGGTGATGCAAATAAATAACTATGATGAATCGTATCACTATACAATATGTGGATTCGTGCTACCCAAACTAAGAAACCATAAAGATTTAGGAGTCATATTAAGCAGCTGAAGATGACACAGGTATTCAGTGTTTGACAACGCTTCTACCAGTAACACCTAATATGATTTGTACCCACCGAGAGAAATCAAAAGACAGAGTTGAGGAGATCGGAAGAGTATATTTGGCGATAACCAATATATCGGAATTCTCTGACCTAATCTGGCTAGCGATTGCGGTAGATGTTTAGCACGGCGTTACCACACGTGATCTGGTGTGGATGCCTGACCGAGCGCCTTCAGCTAGATGAGTTCACTAAAACATATGGTCAGTATCCAATGTCGAAAACTTACAGGGCTATTTATTTTGGGGATTTATTTACCGCCACACAATGAACTCGAAACCACTAGTCACTGTAAAGCTGCTGCTGCAATAGGCTATAGGGTATTATGGTCTATCTTTCCAGTATTTAGATGATGAAATGTTCGGATTATTATACCCGATTTACGTGCGACCACATTTAGAATATGGGATTCAAACAGCGAGCCCTTGCTTCAAGTATGAAGCAGACATGCTGGAAAGAGTTCAACGACGAGGTACTAAGATGTTGAAAGGTCTATCTGCCCTGTCTTACGAAGACAGACTGAGACACATCAACTTATTTCCGTTACCGTAGAATACGGGGTGATCTAATATTGGCTTATCGTATACTGGACGATGATCTTGGTATTAACATGTCTTATCTCTTGCTTCCGTCTAGCACCGATCATTTGAGAGAACATTCGAAGGAAGTTCAAAAACCGAGATCAAATCGTTTACGCCTGGAGTTCCGCGGAACGCGTTTCTCGCATTGAGTAGTGAATTACCTGAATTCTCTACCGGAACACGTAATATCAGCACCTTCTGTTGGTATATTCAGGACGAGATTGAATCTCCACAGTATTACACACTGAAAAGATTAATATAGGTCGACAGACCTATCCTTATCACTGAAGACTGAAGGCCGCAGTTACTTGCGCCAGTATTGAAGGTCGTCGAACCTTTTCGGAATGAAATGGTGCTGGTTGAATTTTTGTTACTGTATCTTTTCTGTTTTGTTGGTATGTTGGCTACTAAACGTATAAATTAACTTCAGTCAAGTATTAGCTTGTCGTACGGAAGACACACATCAAATTGGGCTGTTCTTGTAGATACTTCGCGGTTCTGGTTCAACTATCGACATATAAGCAATGTCCTTTCAATTTATCGAAGTATCAAGCGCCTCGGAATACCAGATAGGTATCATATTTATTATTATATTTATTCATCTTAAAAGCCGTATTATTTTGATGGTGGCTGATGATGCAAGTTGTAGCTCGAGAAATCCGAGACCAGGTAAGATATTTGACGTATCCTTATGGTCTTAGCAACAATCTTCAACAATCCTTACAGTCGGGTAAATTTGTATGGCGAAGAGATAGAGATTGATTATCGTGGTTACGAAGTTACTGTAGAAAACTTCATTCGTATATTAACTGGGCGTTTACCTCCTTCGACACCTACTTCTAAGCGCCTCAATACTGACGAGCACAGTAATATCCTAATATATATGACAGGTAGTTCCTAAAAACTTTAATTCCGGCTTCAGGCCATGGTGGTGATGGTTTCCTTAAGTTTCAAGATGATCATGAGCTTTCTAACAGTGAACTGGCCGATGCGATTGAACAGATGTGGCAAAAACGTAGGTGAGTCTGGATTTATCAGTTTTTAACTTGGAAAGTTGAGTCCATACTCTTCAAAGGCACTGTTTTATCTGTTGGTTACAGCGGTTTAATTTATGGCAGAACGAGGACTAAATTTTTACACTTCTGTGCCTGCTTACTGTGCTGATCTAAGTTTATGGGTTTAATATTGAAATTTAACAATTTGACTAACCCTGTTTAATGTTCAAAAGTTCAACTAGTTGTTTTTCAGATTGGTGTAGTAAGGACAGGGCCTTATGCCTATGTCATTCTTTTTCTAGTATGGTTTTGTGAGTGCCTAGTCTTTTCTCGAACGAGTCAATTGAAAGTGCGGACACCACTGCTTCGGGTAACAGGTTCCAAGTATTGATGACTCGGTATAAAATCCTGCATGCCACGGGTATTTTGTTCGTTCTTCGCTTTTATACTCTTATGTCCTCTGAGATGTCCCGATCTTGTGGGAAGAAAAAGAGAATATATTAGGTCCAAAATCATTTCTTAGTATTCTACACATCAGTACTAGATCTCCCGTTAGTCTGCGATAGGACAGAATAGAGAGGTCCAGCTTTTCAAGCCTCTCTTTGTATGGTGAACCCCGGAGTTTTGGAATTGCACGGGTAGCTGCCCTCTGTATTTTTTCCAGGATATCCGAGTCACTTTTTATTGTAAACAGCAGCATTATTATGTACAAGTCTGTCGTTGGAGATGTTATTATTACGTAAATGACAAATTAGTCGTTTATGCATACTGTTTATGTTCCTGGCTGTTAAAGATACACTAATTTTCACTTCATATGCAACATATAGAAGTATTAGCCCCTCAAAAATAACCATATTCTCAATACCGATTAAATGAAGCTATCAGCCATTTCATAAGCACTCATAATAAACGCCAGCATGTTTATAGCTGTTTATTCGACATCATTTGTATCGATGACCCAGAACTTTCAAATTTACACTTACACATTCAAAATGGTAGACTCAAAAAAAGCTGCAGGGTGTCAGAAGAAACGAGTATGAGTTTGCTCGTTTCGTACTCGTTCTCGTTTCTTCTGACACCCTGCAGCTTTTTTTTGGGTCTGGTTAGAGACCCTGAATGACATGGCTCAAAATCGTTTGCAATGGCGCAGGTGCATCCACTCTCTGTGTTCTCCCAAATTCTAATCTTCTGAATTCTTCATGTCCCTTTTTTCCTCTTTCCAAATTTCTTTCACTGGATTATACTCTTTAAATAACATCTCCAAACCCTAATCTTCCCGATTACTGCTTATACTTTTACTGTCTCTACCACTACGGGATTTGAATCGACAACCGCATCTCTGTGCTAATGTGGTGTGGCAACTCGAACTGATGTACGTACGTACGAAGTTCTACGTTGTTACTGACTGACTGAGTATGAGTTTGGAAGAATTCCGAGCGGATGACTGAGAAATCTGTCGTAGTCTGAAAAACTCTAAATTTCAGGATTATTTCAAGGACTTGTTCTCATGACTTTCCGAATAGTCAAGTCTTAAAATCTCGTGCTATTGAGATCTCGAGTTTACTAATCAAGATTAAATCAACTTGTATAGAGCATCCTCCTAAGTAAACCATCTTCAATCTGAGCACCCGGGCACAAACCCAATGATGACTACAACTGGAAAAAAATCATGTCCGATTCAATTCTTATTCTCTTGAAGTATACTCTCAGCTTTCCGGTAAAATTCGTTTCTATTTTGCATTGCGTTACGTGTCTGTTCCCTTTTATTCCCACTTTATGTATTTATTTATTTCTCAACTCATACAGCAGCTCTCCTGTGGTGGGAATCCTGTCCCATGTAAAAGATCTCAAGTCACTGGCTCGTCGAGATTTTAAGGCTACTACCGAACACGAATTCTGAACCAGCCTTTCTAAAACCATGTGTGCCATTTGAACTGGCCTCCAATGTTCGCACACTAGTGTAAATCGCACGACAGATAGATTGGATGCAATCGATGTCTTTTGTCCATCTTGGGCACGTATTCAACACTAGTGAAGTACTGTCTATTCTTTCCCCATCTATCGCTCCAAAAAGCTTGTTCCGTGTACATTTATTCAGGGACTCTGTGGCATCTTCGTATGGATTTGCTGGAGAAGTTAAATTTTTTTGGCCACTGAAACGTAAGATTAACACAAACAATGGCATAATGAGAGTCCGGATTAATACTCCAAAAGGGGAGGTAGTTTTATACACAACCTCGCATGTAAGTAGGATTTCCCTATCTGTGCTCCGTGCCATATGAGAGAGCATTCTAAGGAGGTTGACAGACTCTCCTCATCCTCGGTTGTACCAGTGTGTTCTGGGGCTAGAAATTCTTGTATGAAGACCACAAAATAAGTCTCGTCTTAGAATTTAGAACCATCTATTATTTACACCTGATACCACAACTTGACGATTCGTTTTAAGTTTTTCTTTATGAAATGTCTTGAAGTTGATGTCATTAAAACGTTCTTGCTCAACTTATTAACCACTAAATCTACTTATTTCCTAAATAGGTATCATGAATTACTATTCATTGTCGATACATGTCAAGCTGAATCAATGGGCAAGTTGTTTTATTCGCCTAATGTAGTAGCCATCGGTAGCAGTGCTATAGGAGAAGAATCATTATCTGTGAGTTCAAGTTGATATTTCTCAAGGCAATACTTGAAGCTTTATTCTTTATGCACGGTCTACTTGTCATTCATTTTGATATGAATTGTCTCAGTCAACACTGAGAATATTAGCTTGCTTCAACTCATATTTGCATCCACTTTTCATTGATTAAGATTCACTGGCTTTCTTATTACACAGTTCTCTTTTAACTACCACCCTACCGAATGTTTTGAAATGTAATCCATCATTTTGACTTAGGTGGTTAGAAGGTTCCGAAATATTTTCCCTTATTCAGTCGTACAAATTATCTATATACGTTTTTCTGTGTAGTTAAATTGAGTTTTTAGTGACCATAAATCTGACTCCGATTTTATCGTATGCCGATTGCTATCTAAATATACATGTCGCCAATCCTCGTATGTTATCATCGACTTAAATCAAGTTGGTGAATAATGAATTTTTGAATACGTATATTTCATACAATCGTTGATCTGATCAGCCAATAAAGGAGACGGAGCGAAGAGGAGAGAGAGAAGCTAAACTAAATGACGCGCAGTGGAGAAGGCGATTGAGCCAACTCGATTTGTAATCCAACAAAAAATCAAGTTACAGACGAGATGAGTAAGATAAGAAATGTACACACATTAATACGCTCATATAATAACAGTCAAGGTTGATAAACCAATAAGTGACAGGGTAAAAATGCGGCTTGAAAAGAATGAATAGATCGATCTGTCTAGAGGCCAGAATAACCTATGTGGACTTGACATAGTACCAGCCCCTACATGTTTATGAAATGAAATGGCTGCAAGACGTACTGAACCGAAACTACGGACAAAAAATTGACTGTACCAAAAATGCTAATGAATAACGATGTCTAGATACAACTAGGGTGTATCATAGATGTATTTCCTGCTATGAATTCTGCGATATATTAATATTCCTCCAAACAAACAATACTCAACTAGCAAGAGTTAGAAACTCAATATTAAAGGAAAAACAACGAAATTGTGCATATATGTTCAAATGTAGTGACTGTAATGCTGTATATGTGGGTAAAACAACTACAGCAGAATTTGAGTGTGAAGCATACTCTTTAATCCTCAAATGACTTGAAGGAAAGTTAAGAAACAAGTCAGTGATACCGTTAGATTTAGTTGAGTCCGGATGTATAGTTTATTTCAGTGACACTAGACTCCTACATATATAGGCAAACCCAAACAATATTTATATGAGAGATGGAATACAATCAACTTAATTTTACACCTTATTTTATTCATCTCTTGGACAATAACAATTACTTTCACTTGTTCTAATCGATTGGTTAGTCCGAATATACAATAAAAAATCCACGTGGTCGACACAATCACGTGAACATGTATTTCTTTATTTATCCTCAAACGATGAATGGTGTGACATGTTTGATTCATATCATCTGTCAAATGATCTAATTTCAATAAATTTCTAATCCGAGACGAAATGGTCGATGCATTTTCCTGGCGTCAGATCTAAATATACTTGTTATATCTTAACACAATTTCTCCACTTTTAATACCAAATATAGACATAAGCGAACAATATTGTTTTCGATTAGATCCTCATCAGGCTTTACTCTAATATACAGTAATATTTATATGCATATATGAAATTATTAAACCAATCAAGGTAGTTTATAAGTCAATGATAACAATGAAAACGATTACATAATAAGTGAAACGTGAAAAGTACAAATTGATGGTGTGACAACAGGTGCATTAGTTTTGATAAGAATAATAGAGGTTCAAACCAATGTTACATAATCGGAAATAGGTCAATGATTAGGAAAATATAGAAACTGAGATAACAATTATAAAATTATAAGATGACGTAATAAGAAATGTTCAGATAATTGGACCATGAAACGTATAGTTGAGAGAAAATAAAGTGGTAGGAGGGTGTGAAGAAAAATAATAAACGAAGAGAATAAATAAATAAATAAATACATTCATTAATTACTTAAGGCCAAGGGAGAGATAAGGGAGTTACAAATTTCTTCTGGACACAAAGACTTGGCTTGTTGGCTCGGATTCCTATAGCTTTTGCTATGTGTAAGAGACGAGACCGAACACCATAAGGAAAACTAGTGGGAATCCGATAAATAACTTTGAACGACTTGTTTCTGTCCACTATATGACCGCTATCGATCAAGTGTGATAGAACCGAGCTGCGTATTGTTTTGACGTAACCCCTTCCTAACCACGAAGGGAGGTGTTCACTAACTCGTTGGTTCAGTTGCCTGGTAGTGCGCCCAATATAGCTTTCTCCACAGGAGCAGCTGAATTCGTAGGTACCAATAGAAGTGGCATAATCAGGTAACTTATCCTTCAATTGTGGAATCACCATCGATCGGGTCGAATACGATAGGCAGAGGTTGGCAGCATTAAATGTTCTCTTTACTGCTCTAGTCAATCTATCCCGTAATACATCGCTAGCTAAATCACCATTGAATTGCAGCTTTAAGAAAAGCGGTTTCTTATTATCCGTCAGAGTCACAATTTTCTTGTTTTGCACCCGCAAGTGTTTCTTCAGGAAACCCAGTGGATATCCCAATTCAATCAAAATATTATGAATGTGTTGTAATTCCCTATCAATTGTGTCGACTGAGCATATCTTAAGAGCTCTAACTGCAAGATATTTGACTAAGTTTCTCTTATAATGAAGAGGCACAAAGCTTAAAAAATGTGTGTATTGGCTTGGAGAAGAACCTTTTCTATACACACCTCTGCTGATAGAACCATTTTCTTTTCTACTTAACAAAACGTCCAGGAAATTTAGTTTGTTATCTATTTCTTCTTCACATGTAAATTTAATATCAGGATGTTTGTTATTAAATAGTTCCAGTAGTTGTTCTTTTCTAATGTTCTGATCGGCAATGATGGTGTCATCAACGTAACGACAGTAGAAGTCCAGTTTATTGATAACCTCTTTGAGAGGTCCGTTTTCTAGTTTCGTCAGAAAAAAATCCGCAAGGATGGGACCTAGTGGTGAACCCATCGCTATACCATCAATTTGTCTATAATACGTGTTATTAAAGACAAAATAGACATTCATTGTGCATTTTAGAAGTAATTCTTTAAGACTAACCTCAGGAATTCCAATATTGATTTGTTTTTCCTGCAGTTGTTGGCACACAAGATCGATAGTCTCTGTTAACGGTACATTGGTGAACAGGGAAGCAACATCTAAAGATATCATTCGTTTACCATTTAAATTTATATGTTCCACTTTAGAAATGAAATCGAAGACGTCTTTCACGCTTCTGTTGACGACTAATTTGTGTAAGGTGTTTAGGATACGAACTAGCCACTTTGCAGTTTTATGATAAGGCGAATTATACATATCTAAAACTGGGCGAAGAGGAAGACCTGTTTTGTGAACTTTAGGTAAACCATATAGTCGCGGTGTGTTCGATCCCGTAGGTTTGAGTGAGTCATGTATGTCCGGAGTAAGAATACATTTATTTTTTTAAATTCCTTCAGTGAGTTAGTCAGCAATTTTTCTGCCTTCGTATTTAAGTCCTTAACGTCATTGAGTTTCTGAAATTTTGTCGGATCATTCAAAATCACGTTCATTTTATTAATGTAATCAGCTTTGTTCATAAGAACTAGCCCGCCTCCTTTGTCCGGCTTGCTTATGATTATAGTACTGTCGTTTCTAAGTACTTGTAAAGCATCTCGGTGCTGTTTGGTAAGTGGAATTTTCACTGTACATTTACTATTTCTGTATTGTTGGCAGAAATTATGAACGTACCGCTCAGGGTCCATTGGAAATTTTCTTTCAGGTTTATGAGGTTCCAGTGACTGAGTTAGCTTATTCCCTAGTGTTACGTTAGACACATTGCAATTAGAGGCATTGCCACTCGGCCCTAGGTTTTGTGACTACAGTAATAAAATAAACCAACTAGATACAGACGTACAGTTTGAAAATTTATTTCCACAAACATCAGATTTGGTGCCGACTTCTGATGAACTAACCAGGTTTAAGACCATGTTAGTAGACATCTGCCAACAATACAGAAATAGTAAATGTACAGTGAAAACTCCACTTACCAAACAGCACCGAGATGCTTTACAAGTACTTAGAAACGACAGTACTATAATCATAAGCAAGCCGGACAAAGGAGGCGGGCTAGTTCTTATGAACAAAGCTGATTACATTAATAAAATGAACGTGATTTTGAATGATCCGACAAAATTTCAGAAACTCAATGACGTTAAGGACTTAAATACGAAGGCAGAAAAATTGCTGACTAACTCACTGAAGGAATTTAAAAAAATAAATGTATTCTTACTCCGGACATACATGACTCACTCAAACCTACGGGATCGAACACACCGCGACTATATGGTTTACCTAAAGTTCACAAAACAGGTCTTCCTCTTCGCCCAGTTTTAGATATGTATAATTCGCCTTATCATAAAACTGCAAAGTGGCTAGTTCGTATCCTAAACACCTTACACAAATTAGTCGTCAACAGAAGCGTGAAAGACGTCTTCGATTTCATTTCTAAAGTGGAACATATAAATTTAAATGGTAAACGAATGATATCTTTAGATGTTGCTTCCCTGTTCACCAATGTACCGTTAACAGAGACTATCGATCTTGTGTGCCAACAACTGCAGGAAAAACAAATCAATATTGGAATTCCTGAGGTTAGTCTTAAAGAATTACTTCTAAAATGCACAATGAATGTCTATTTTGTCTTTAATAACACGTATTATAGACAAATTGATGGTATAGCGATGGGTTCACCACTAGGTCCCATCCTTGCGGATTTTTTTCTGACGAAACTAGAAAACGGACCTCTCAAAGAGGTTATCAATAAACTGGACTTCTACTGTCGTTACGTTGATGACACCATCATTGCCGATCAGAACATTAGAAAAGAACAACTACTGGAACTATTTAATAACAAACATCCTGATATTAAATTTACATGTGAAGAAGAAATAGATAACAAACTAAATTTCCTGGACGTTTTGTTAAGTAGAAAAGAAAATGGTTCTATCAGCAGAGGTGTGTATAGAAAAGGTTCTTCTCCAAGCCAATACACACATTTTTTAAGCTTTGTGCCTCTTCATTATAAGAGAAACTTAGTCAAATATCTTGCAGTTAGAGCTCTTAAGATATGCTCAGTCGACACAATTGATAGGGAATTACAACACATTCATAATATTTTGATTGAATTGGGATATCCACTGGGTTTCCTGAAGAAACACTTGCGGGTGCAAAACAAGAAAATTGTGACTCTGACGGATAATAAGAAACCGCTTTTCTTAAAGCTGCAATTCAATGGTGATTTAGCTAGCGATGTATTACGGGATAGATTGACTAGAGCAGTAAAGAGAACATTTAATGCTGCCAACCTCTGCCTATCGTATTCGACCCGATCGATGGTGATTCCACAATTGAAGGATAAGTTACCTGATTATGCCACTTCTATTGGTACCTACGAATTCAGCTGCTCCTGTGGAGAAAGCTATATTGGGCGCACTACCAGGCAACTGAACCAACGAGTTAGTGAACACCTCCCTTCGTGGTTAGGAAGGGGTTACGTCAAAACAATACGCAGCTCGGTTCTATCACACTTGATCGATAGCGGTCATATAGTGGACAGAAACAAGTCGTTCAAAGTTATTTATCGGATTCCCACTAGTTTTCCTTATGGTGTTCGGTCTCGTCTCTTACACATAGCAAAAGCTATAGGAATCCGAGCCAACAAGCCAAGTCTTTGTGTCCAGAAGAAATTTGTAACTCCCTTATCTCTCCCTTGGCCTTAAGTAATTAATGAATGTATTTATTTATTTATTTATTCTCTTCGTTTATTATTTTTCTTCACACCCTCCTACCACTTTATTTTCTCTCAACTATACGTTTCATGGTCCAATTATCTGAACATTTCTTATTACGTCATCTTATAATTTTATAATTGTTATCTCAGTTTCTATATTTTCCTAATCATTGACCTATTTCCGATTATGTAACATTGGTTTGAACCTCTATTATTCTTATCAAAACTAATGCACCTGTTGTCACACCATCAATTTGTACTTTTCACGTTTCACTTATTATGTAATCGTTTTCATTGTTATCATTGACTTATAAACTACCTTGATTGGTTTAATAATTTCATATATGCATATAAATATTACTGTATATTAGAGTAAAGCCTGATGAGGATCTAATCGAAAACAATATTGTACGCTTATATCTATCTTGTTCTAAATTTTCAATATGGGAATATTTCAAATACGAAATATCTCATACACACTACAATAAATCTCGATTTCAAAATTATTAACGTGATTAAATAACTTGTTTATTATAAATTTGACCTGTGAACTATTTATATTCGACAATTTTGATGTTTGGTTATATTTCCTACAAATTTCTGGGCCAGATTGCCAAACAAAACGTTGAATTTACTTGAAGTTCAATCTCTGAGATTTTCATAAGTATAATTTTCCTCCTTAATTGATTGGTTAGTAGATATTTTGAGTTTCTCTCTGAACATCGAAGTACGTAGCTGGTATGTACTTGTTACACATCTTGTTTAATTTGTTTTAGATTTATGAATTTATTGGTTAATTTACAATTGTTTTGTCATACAGTTGTGATGTTTCTCACTTATTGAATCCAACTAGTGTTAACAATATTGTCTATGCATCAGTTTTCTTGACTAAATTCGTAAGTATTTTTCATGTATCTCCCTTCATACAGACTGTTGGACTGGATGTGGTTGGAATTAAGATTTCTCTTTAAATTTAATCATATTTCTATGACAACTAATTTTATACTGTGCAAAAATATTCTCACTTTTATCATTCAGCTCCATTCGGATCGCGAAATTGGGACCTATGTTTCTGATCGATATTCTTACTATGCGTTTCAGTTTTTGGAGTCTGTTACTCCTTCGAGCAAAAGAACATTGTATGATTTTGTAAGTTTTAATTATACCATAGATTTTTGTTCCTGTGCTGAAAAGTCCGTATAGCTTTATGTGCTAGATTAAACAATCGACATTAAAATTAATGGTTATCTTACTATTCCTTATATTCACCTTGTTAGTTGTCACTCTTATCACTAAAACGTAAGGGCTGGTGAAACTTTTCAGCATAATGAATGTTATACTCATAAAATGACTAGTAATGTAGTTAGTAGCTTGATTTTTACCGAAACGTCAAAAATTGATAGGAATAATAAACTGCAAAACCGAGTTTATATCGTGACAAGACAGATTTTGATATTGAAGTTTGATAAGAAAAACAGGTGAATAGAAATAAGTTGTGTTGGGGGGATTGGAAGTTAGCTTGGTGATTGAAAATGAGTGAGGCGATTTAATTGCTTCATTTGTACACACAGTTCTGCTTGGTTTATATGTGTTGTGGAAGTTTCAGCAGTTCAAATAAGGCAACAGGTCTGTGTTTTTAGTAGATTTCTACTCACTACGTGAATAACTTAGAATTTTTAATTTAGCCTCATGGAATGACCATTGTTCACAAAGTGTCCAGTCCTTGTCAGTCAGCTACAACGTAGGACCAGGCACATATATGCATCGGTCCAAGTTGCCATACCTCATTAACACAACAAGATGGACACCGGATTCATAAAAGTAGTTAATTCAGAGGTGGTAATATATAAAAGAAAGATTGCAATAAGGATATAGTACAGGAAGAAAGAATTAGTTCGTAGAAAGAAAGATATGAAGTGGTTTTAATCTTAGTTTAAGAGAAGATAGTGTATACACCTACGCCACTGTGATCGATTCTGAGCCATGTCACCAATAGTCTCCAACCATTGGTTGCGATAGTCACGCGGACCCCAACCAAGTAGTCTGCATCTACCAACATGGCTCAGACCAGAAGTTCGTGTCTTCAAGCACTGATACCACGTTTTGGTTTGGCCGCCCCTAACTTTCTTCCAACCATCCCCAACCCCGGTTAGCATTGCACGTCATGGTAATCGGTGTTCAGGCATACGCAACACGTGGCCCAACCATCTCAGATGATGAAGATTTACAACCTCATCAACTGATTTACCATCATTCCCTAATGATGTCCAGTCCTTGAGTGCAGTATGGATCTGTTTCAATATACAGATAGTGTTCTTAAATCTACAGCGATTACGATGATAAATATAATTTCTAACTTTTCAGCTCCCTTAACTATCCAACGCCTATCTGGAGATTGAAGACGTAAAATCCAGGCAAATCAACCATGTATTCACTAAGTTCCATCCAGTTATTTTTATTGCTGTTAATTTCATATTCAACTTTTGCTCTTCATCTTGTAAGTTGTGTTTCTCTGTGCCGAAGCATGATATGGTACACTGAAAAGATTAGCATATATGATAATTCCTACATTTTTTAAGAGCATTATCAACAACTGTCATTTTCCGTGACACGTAATTGTTTTTCGAGATTAAAGAAATAGCCTATATATAATTAAAACAATTTAAATGAATTGTTCTTGAACAGTTTAAGCTGTTTCAATATTATTTTGACAGTGGTTGTAACCAATGACTGGATGTCTCGTTGGGTAAATTACAGTGTTGGTAATGAATCCACAATTATTTTCTCATTTATTTCGATCATATAATTACTGAGTGTTTATTTTATTTCTGTCTAATGTTGCTTCCTGATTTTTCGTCGTACCTTTACAACATGGAGTAACTTTGATCGATACATTCTTGTGATAGACTCTATAGACTTATTAGCTTTTTCACAAGAGGATTATGTACCTCAGTAAACGTACCTAAGTCAGTTATTTAGCTATACAAATTAATTGCATTGTGTTTTTACTTCTTTATTTTGTAACCTAGTCCCAGTTATGCTCTTTCTCATTATGTCAATCAACTGTTATCACTCGATCTGATTTATTTAGACGTGATATACGTCGCGTACTTGTTACAGACTTTTTTGGTAGCGTGCGTCATATAATCCCTGGACCAGTTATAGAAATTAGCAATTCCACTTTGTATGAGAACAATACATTGTAAGTTCACTGAACATGCACATAATTATTTTTTTGATTGAGAACAAAGTGTATTTGAGAATGGACAGTTTGAAAATGTAAATCCACTCTTCCTAGTCTAGTTCAACTCATTTTGTATAAGGATAAAAAAACTTGTTTTATGTAGTGTAATTATATTTGCACTGCTCGACTACTTAATAATCTTTTAAACACAGTTATTTAAATACAGCACGGTTAACAGCTTGATATCATCTATTTATATAAAGCAGGCCTAATAACTTTGAAAGAACTTGTTCGAATTCTATAATGATTCTGTTTATTTTAACAGAAGTAGTCTCTTAGTAATTGAATTATTCATCATCCTATCAGTATACGTCACATGTTCAACCTCCATTCTACCTACTTTAGTTAAAGCAGCTGCGTTGGTATTACTATATCGGTGGTTGAAATTCATGACCCCTTTTGACGGAAAATTAAGAGTATGGTTATAAATCTTTAAAAATAAGCTACTGGTTAGCCTGAATTTCTAAGTGTATCGTTATGTGATTAGGAGTGCATTTTGTATCTCCTGTATGAATTATTTAAAACGACTGTTAATAATACACTATTGTAATACGACTAGTTATAATCCATATAAACTAGTAATCACTTTGCAATAAAAACTCATTAACCGTTCAGCACTAATTAAATGTATAGTTTACATTCTTGATCTTGGTGTCCGGAACCTCGCAGTATAATAGTGGTGTAAACATGATCAATATGCGTATTGAGTTGATTCTACGTGTGATGCATCTTGATAACAGGAATATCGTTCAAATACTCGTCTCTCTTTATGAATAATATAGTCTAACAATCTGCAAAAGTCTCTCCAATTCTTTTTTGCCTATGTTCTTCATTACTTCACTTTTTCGATGGAAGTGTAGTAAAAATGAGTTTGTTCACCTAACATCCAAATAGTGATTCAAATGTGTTGGTCGACACCAACGGATTACTGAGTTTATGTTACGCAGCCTGAAAGTAATAACTCATCTTGTTCATTTTCAAAAGTGGTTGTACTATAAACAGAATAAAGATTTAGGTAAAATGTCATTGGATGTTGTAATTCAGTCGGTTATTAATGTAGTTGGTTCCATAAGGTCTAAAACCAAAATTTTCGTGTTGTGATTTCAATATACCTGAGATACCCGACAAATAGGGCTTCTTGTGTGACGGAGATAATTCGTTCTCATGTTTGTGTTAATATCAACGTCAAGTGATTTTCTAATGTAGGAAAACTATATTCAGTGAAATGAGTGTATTTCTACAATCGTGGGCTGATCAAGTGCAATAGGTATCTGTGAAACTAACATTTCCACGCTAGTTATTAAAGATGTACATGTTTAAATTTGTAAAGCCTTAAAAAGGGTGTTTTAAACGGCTATTTACTCGAAGATTCCTTGTTTTAGTTTTTGTGTACTTTGTCTACGTATCCAATTTTCTTTTTCATTGCTACAATGTCCTTCTATTTTTCTTTATTTTATGATTATAGAATTAAACACTGAATCGAAGCATTTTTCGTACGTTACACCTCTCAACGTGTATCTGTGATATTAGTTTTTTAATTAATATATTATTGTACAATCCGTTAGACCGTGTACATACATTTTTTTCTGTTATAATTGTTTTAAAATTTATTGAATTTCGTTAATATGCCATCATAACTTTTGTAATACCACAGGGAAGGGCTAAGTTTGTCAATCGCTATAAATTATCAGCCTATTCATGCTATCAGTAGAGCTTTATGGTTTGACCTTATCGAAGTAGTTTTTAATTTCCTAAGTGATAGTGTAATTCCGTTCGGTGCAGAAATACATGACTGACACTTGTTTCAAAGGTTAGTTTGAGATATGAAGTTCTTTGTGACAATATTTTCAGATTGAGGAATATCACCATGTTATTCCAGTTATTGTTTACGGTAAAATGGCGTGGATACTAACTGTTTTATGAACTTGTTTATCTACAGGGTATGATTAAACGGTTATTTGAGTCCCACTTAACTATGTGCAGCATCACGCTTGTTACTGTTATCATTTTCTATGAGAGAGCATTGTTTTAACGTTAAATAGCATCCAAATTCAGGAATGATGTCGTTATACATTACCCTTGTAATGTATGACAACCCAAACACATCGGAACCACTCATCGCCATGCAGCATAAGACCAGAAGTCGACTACAAATAACTTGCGGTTAAGTATTTTCCACACAACCGATGACACTAGGCATAAACAGCAGCAGAAGATTTGTGTATGTGCGTTTTAAATGATGAACCAAACAGAACGAACATTACTCTTTATTCCGAATAATCGTTGTGAGAGATAGGTTTAATAATATGATACGAAGTCCTGTTTACCGTTGGTCTGACTGCTAATTACAATCGTTAATACAGCTCGAAAACGAATATATAGTATGACAAAGATACAGGCGTTAGGTAGAAAAATAGTAATCGATAAGTGCATAATTGTAGAGATACAAGGGCATCAAAATGAGACATATTTATGCTAAGGATCAGGATCTCTTATGAAGACGGCTGTTGCGAAGGTGAAAATAACTCAACAGTCACATGCTGTCATTAGGGTCTGTTTTAAGTTAGGTTGAATATGTGAGTGCTTATTGGTAGTAAACACTACAGCGGTTTGTCTTCGTCCAATTCTTCCGTTTATTAGCTTTGTTCATGAGCACGGTTTAACTCATGAGGACTGTCTACGTCTTGGAGAGAACTTCGGGACTGCCATTCTTTTCAAGCAGTTTTACTTTCAAAATAAAATTTCATCCATCCTGTCCGATACACGGAACAATTATAGGACAGTATTTTCACTTGACACTTCCCGTCGCAAAAGACTGAAAAGTTCCGTATCAGAGAGGAATGCAAACTGAAAGAGGCAAAACGATTTATATTTATTGCAAAGGCTAGTACCACAAAGTTTGCACGAATTTGACACCTGCGTCTTTCAACCGGTTTAGTAAAATCGGGATCCTACAATGTGTTTGACGTAAATGTAGTTGCTACTCCAACGAAATTTGTCGAATAGGTACAGGTCCTAAGCAAGAACCTACATAACGACATATGAGAAAGTCCTACCACCCTTAAATGTGGTCGAGATACTGAAGACCGGTCATAGTGACAGGTCAGTTATTTTTCATAGGGTCAAAGAGAGTGAAAGCTCTGAATCGAAAACTCGTTTTGAGCATGATATTGGGTTGATAAAAGAACTACTAAATCAACCTATGCTTCAAAATATATCCGGAGTCACCTAGCTAAAGGTGTATAGATTAGGTAGTCAAGTAAACTTAAAACCAAATCATACCAGGCTGCTTAAAGTAGTAATCAAATCTCCTAATGAACGGAAATTATTTTTAGAGAATGGACATAGACTAAAGGGTTCAGGAGTTTTTGTTTGTAAGTGCTTGTCGCTGGTAGACTGTGTAAAAAGACGGGAAGCCGGAAAAGATCTACAACTTAGGTCAGACGCTGGCGAAAAGGACTTAAAAGCTGTAAACTTTCGGGTTGCAAGTCTTCGACAGAGAATGATGCCGAAGCCACTCTGGGTGAAGCACGAAGCCAATTAAATAGGCTTCGGGTCTGTTACACCAATACCAGAAGCTTGCTCAATAAGCGATCGGAACTGGGTGTACAGATTGACTCTACAAAGCCAGACATAATCGCAGCGACAGGAACTTGGCAGACGCATCCTATAGATAGAATGGAACCTGATTTTGAGGGTTTTGCGTTGGTAGAAATAGACAGAATCCGGAAGCGTATAGGAGGGGCAGTAGTTCTATTAATTAGGAAAGATTTCCAATTTGCTATTATCGACAGTGCAGCCTGTAACAGCTTAGGTTGATTGGTTCAGAGTTGACCTCATACAACTAAGCATATGTCAAAACAGTATAGTTTAAGTATTCATTCCATTCCTTATTTTGTATAGATCTTATATTTTATATTATCTTATGTTGAATGTTGAGAGTCTCTGTTAGTCTGAACAGGTATTCCGCGATTCTGTGTGACTTCACGATAATCTTAACAAAAACCTATTCACTACTAGTCTGTTTTTTTCTATCAGTAGCACGAGGGTTACTTACAGGCACGAAACTGGTGAGCCTGACATGAAAGAGTAGTGTAATGGCATTAAGCCTTAATGACACAATCCACAAGGCTGAACACGAGACAATCGGGTAAATAGATATTCAACGTCTAACACGGAGAAAAACCCAACGATGAGGAGGGCGGGGACAAGGAGTTGAATTAATTCTGGTTGATCGGATGGCATGGCTCGGCCCTGCAAGTGTGGTCCCTGTTGAATGTTACCTTATGTCCTTTCCTCATATCAAATATATTGCTCTATTTCTAGCCTTCGCTTGTTCTCCATCATGTATTGGTGATTGTTACGATGCAGTGAGTTGGTGTAGACGACAATGTGACCTCCACATAAGAACTTATAGATTAGGCAGTTATATCATGACAAATCTACAATTTTAGGATTAAGTCCATCATTAGCGCATTACCAATATCATAGTAAACCATCTTTCTACAAGCCCATGGGAGTCGCATAGGTGAATTAGCTAGTTGTCGTTTGAAATGCAAGGGACAAGAGCTGCTGAGTACTCTGGTCTATCGCAGTCCAGGCTGTGAGGTATATGGTTCTTGCTAAACAGTCTCAATACTTGGTTAAAAAGTGATCGACGTCTAATCCTATGGTTCTTTAATGCACCCACGGTAGACTGGGAAAATCTGCGAACTGAATTGTTAGATAATTCATTTGAACAAGAACCAGTTGATGTGGTTGTCACATGTGCCCTGGTGCAACATGTAAAAGAATCGACTAGGTACGACCCGGACACTGAATCATCCTTACTAGATCTTATATTGATTCATTATGGGGGTGAGGTTACGAACCTCGATTATATGCCACCCCTAGGTAAAAGTGATCAAGCAGTTCCAACTCTTAACTTCCATATAATCGTCAAAAACGAACACGCGTCAGATGAATCCAGACCTGACATCTGGAAAGTAAAAACATACGAGATATAATACATTTATCATCGTCAGTAGATTGGACAATACAGCCAGAATCCTTGATTGAAATGGTTTAGGATGTCTTTTGAAATTTGTACGGAAAAGTTATTTCACCCCACATCCCTTGGACCTTAACAAGGGGGCCGAGAATCTCTCCACCATGGTTCAGTAGGGAGGTTCACATTCTTCTCCGTAAAAGAAGAAAAATGTGGGACAGATTTAGATTACTGGGGACTGATGCGACAAAATTCCAGTATCGAAAAGCTCGGGATACCTGTGCCTCGACTCTCCGTATGTCTAGAAAGTTGTACGAAGAGGAAATCGTCAAGGAACCCATAGAATGTCTTAAACGCTTGTATTCCTATATAAACCAAAGGACAAAAAGAAGAGGAAATATTCCTGCACCACGGGGAGACAATACTGCCGCATCATTAGTGGACGACGACTTTAGGAAGGGTCAGGTTTTCTCAAACTACTTTAGCAATGTATATACCACAGGACCCAAGGTCGTTCACCAAAAGTCTGGGAGAACGCCACAGTAAGTCTTGTCTTAAAAACAGTTCCGAAACAAAAATCTGAGGATTACCGACCCGTGAGGTTAACTGATGTGATTGTTAAAATCTTAGAAAAGATTATACGGAAGGAGCTGTTTACGTATCTCGACGAAAACCGGATCCTTCCGTAAAAACAGCATGATTTCAGAATAGGTTATTCTTGCCTCCCTAAATTATTAGTGGCTCGTGAATGCTGATGGGCTCTTAAGAACCAGAAGTTACCTGGAGATGTAACCTACATTGACTTCAGCATAGCTTTTGACAAGGTTCCGCACAACTGGCTGTTATATAGATTAAGAAATGTCGGGGTTGGAGGCAATATATTGATGTGGATAAAAGACTTCTTAGTTGGGCGTCAACAAAGAGTTCGGGTGAACTCAAAGTTATCCAGCTGGGAAACTGTGCTTAGTGGAGTGTCCTAGGGTACAGTTTTGGGGCCAATGCTATTCCTCTTGTATGTAAATGACCTTCCGCGTCTCCTATCACCATCGGTTTTGCTATATGCTGACGATGTCAAGGTATGGAGAGCTGTATGAAGTAAGGGTGATAGCTTCGAACTGCAAAATGAACTGGAGAAATTACCTGAATGGTATCAAACCCAGTAGTTGCCGACAAAAACTTCCAGGTGTATTGTGGTGCATATCGGTCATCAAGTTACAGATACATACACGATGAATAACACTGAGCCACATGTTGTTGAGAAACAATGACTTAGGAGTCATCGCTAGCCAAGCGGCTAGCCCAAGCTTAAAAAAGACACTGAAATATTAGAAAAGGTTCAGAGAATGGCAACTAAGCTGATTCCCGGAATAGGGAAGCTCCCGTATGATGCGTGACTGGCCAAGCTAAACCTATTCCCGTTGTTGTATCGTAGAATTAGAGGCGACTTGATTACAGATTTCAAATTGCTTAGTGCCAAATTTGCACCTGATA